TCAACGAGCAGGCCTGCCGCGCCGGGGTGAGTCTGACGGGACACCCAGGGGCCCCCTCGCTCAGCCTTTCCTTCCCAGGGAGGGACCGCTCGCTGCCCGGAGGGCCGGATGGGGGCGGGGGAGCCCGTGGCCTCTCTTCCTCTTTGGGGTCAGAGAAAAGGGGGCAGGTGAGGCTGGAGGCGGTAGAGAGCCGGCTGGGTCCCGGGTTCAGTGTTCCTGTGGTCGGGATACCCTGGCTCCAACCCCGGTCCAAACTGCTGTTCTCATAGCAACGCTAACCCTGAGCCCGCGGGCGCTTCCGCCCAGTGCGTGTGCGGATGGCGTTGGGGTGCGGGGGTGGGGGGCGCTGCCAGGGTGGGAGGGAGACAGGTAATACTCCTTCCCCGCAATTTGCCTGGTTCTCCTGCCCCCACACCCAGTTGACATGTCGGGTCCCAAGTCCCTGATGCGATCAGGCATATTCCAGAGGAGCCCGATTTACCCTCCCCCGCCCTCAGGAACCCAGCGCTCCCGTCTGACTCTTCGGTTTCCATGCTGATGTGTTGAGGGGAAGGTGTCTGGGTGGAGAGCAGATAGTTAGTCCGCACTCTCCCGGGGATGAGCCAGAGCCCGGCACCAGCTAGCCCAGTCTACTTCCTCCCGCCGCTCGTCCCAGGAGGCGGGGCAGGAAGCTCTCCTGAGTCTGAGAGGTGGGGTGGGAGGTCGAGGTCTCCCTCTCCCGGGCTCCTGCCCATCCTGGCCCAGGAATCTCTCCTTGCTCTCACCTCCACCAGGCCCCTCACTCAGAGGCATCTCCACCCCCACTCCTGGGAGGGCTTCACTAACTCCCCAGATGCCTAGACACAGAAGTGACCACGGGGGAAGTTGCCCGTCTCCTGCCCAGGTGGCTGGCAGAAATCCAAATGGCATCTTTCAGTCCAGTCTTGGACTCACACCTCCCCGGCGTTCCCCGCACCTTGTCCCTTGGTCAGAAGTGATTCCCAGGGCAGCTGACTCAGCTGGACATTGGTCTCTCTAGCAGGGACTGGGGAGATTGGGGTTCCAAGCATCCGTCTGGCCATCTCCTGGGGCCTGGCCTCCAGATGTGACAACTGCAGAGCCAGGAATTGGCTTCCCTGGGTTCGGCAGGCAGATGAGCCCTGTGGATTTGTGTCCTCCCATCCCAAGGCCCAAGGAAGAGCTGTCAGTCCATCTGGGCCCCTGCCAGTTCTCCTTCCCTCCCTGCTCTCCAGACAGGGCTGCAGCAAGTTGCCTCCACTGCAATGAAAGAATTAGGAAGCTCTTTCAAGCCCTAAGCTAAGCAGCTTTTTGCTCCCTAATACCACCCTGCTGTCTGCCTGGAGGGACTAGCCAGACCTCTGGACCCTGCAGCCCTTACAGCTTGCTTTTCTTCCCAGTCCCTCTGGTACAGTTCCCCAAGGCCAGGCTGAGCTGTCTTCATCTCCAAGAGCATGGCTAGAATCATACTCTTGTGCGTCCACATCCTATTTATCTGGAAGAAGCTTGGCCTCATTTCTCCAGCTCTTGCCTTGAATAAGTGGGCCTTACTGTTTTTACCCTTAGCTCAGGCATGTCTCTGTCTGCCCAACTATCATATATAAGTGACAACCTACAACGTGATTATTTTTTTCTGTGCATCCCTTTTCCTTTGGGCGGAGGGTGGAGGATGAAGAGGAAGTTGGGGGGAGAGGAGGGAGGCTCCTGGTATTCCAGGAAAAATCTAGAGCCTTCTGCTCAAGGTGACCTGGTCTCTGCGGCGGGCTAGCTCCCCACTTCTCCCTGGCAGCTGCAGGGCCCTGGAGAGGTGGGTTTGGAGGACAACACATCCTATTTGAAAGCCCAGAGCCAAAGAGGGGTCAGGAGCCAGCCTGCAGCTGCGGCCTCAGCAGTGCCAGGTCCCAGCCAGCAACTCAGCAGGCTCGCCCTGCAGAGGCAACTCCAAAGACCTGACCTGTGTCCACATTACTCCCTCAGAGCTCCATCCAGATTGCCTTTGAGGAGGTGCCCCAACTCTTACCCAGAGCCAGCATTGGTCATGTGACCTGTGTAGACCAATCAGAGAACACCATGGTAAGGGTCTGCTGGGCAAGGCTTCTTTAGGGTCCCAGAGGGGGCTGATTCCAGGAGTTCCCTTTAGTCCAAGGGCTCTTAACCTGAGGTTGATGAATGACGAAGGGATCCAAGGATTGGCTTCAGGAGGTCTGAGGATCCCACTAAAGTGACATGCAACATGCAGTACATGTGTTCACATCTGCGTTTTTCTGGGGAGAAGTCTTTGGCTTTTCTACGGTTCTTTTATGGACTTGTGGCCTCCAAACAGTAAAGTCTCAAGGACAACTGAAGTGGGGAGGGTCTGCTGATCCATCACAGAGCAGGGCAGAGCAGGATGGCGCATCCTTCCTCCATGCCTAACCCTCTTTGCCTCCATGCTTTGCCTGTCCCAGGTGCTGCATTGTCAGCTCTCTGCTGAGGAGGTGATGTTCCCAGTTTCTGTGACCCAACAGTCCCCCGCTGCCGTCTCCATGGAGACCTACCACATCACTCTGACACTGCCACCAACACAGGTGGAGGGGGTGTGGGAAATGGAGTTGGGCAGCAGGTGGTTCAATTGCCTTCACCTTTTCAGTTGGGCTCCTTTCTAAGAGGGGGTTGGGGTGGGAGGGTCCTGGGGAGAGGGAATAATTGGAGGAGTAGGCAAGTCATCTCAGTCTCTTGGTCCCTGTCCCTAGTTGGAAGTTAACCTAAAAGAAATCCCTGGCGAGGGGCTCCTTGTGTCCTGGGCCTTCAGGAATCGCCCAGATCTCAGCCTGACAGTGCGTCCCAAGCTGCAGGCCAGAGAGGTAAGGGAGCAGGGCTGGGGGTCGGGGAGGCAGGAAGAGGCAGAGCAGGGAAGGGGAGGCCGAGCTGGGGGCCCGTCTCTGTGCTCCTCTTCTCCCTGCAGAGAGGTGAGGAGCAAGTGGAGCTCTCCACGATTAAGGAGCTGATAGAGGATGCCATCGTCAGCACCCAGCCAGCCATGATGGTCAACCTCAGGGCGTGCTCTGCCCCTGGAGGGCTGGTGAGTAGACACTGAGAGCAAATAGTTTGCATCCTGACCGGTGTGGCTCAGTTGGTTGAGAATCATCCCATGCACCAAAAGGTCACCAGTTCCATCCCTGGTCAGGGCACATGCCGGGTTTTGGGCTCGATCCTCAGTAGGGGGCTTGCGGGAGGGAGCTGATTGATGTTTCTCTCTCTCTCCCTCCCTCTCCCTCTCCCTCTCCCTCTCCCTTCCTTTCTCTCCAAAAATCAATAAGAAGATATTTTTTAAAAAATCAAATTGTTGCCGAAACCGGTTTGGCTCAGTGGATAGAGCGTCGGCCTGCGGACTGAAAGGTCCCAGGTTCGATTCCGGTGAAGGGCATGTACCTGGGTTGCGGGCACATCCCCAGTAGGAGGTGTGCAGGAGGCAGCTGATCGATGTCTCTCTCTCATCGATGTTTCTAACTTCCTATCTCTCTCCCTTCCTCTCTATAAAAAATCAATAAAATATATTTAAAAAAAAAAGAATATAAAAAAAAAATCAAATTGTTTGCAGGCATAGTGCCTTCAGGGTACTATGTTGGAATTCTCTTTTGACCTTTTGTACTTAGATACCCAGTGAGAAGCCACCCACGCTGTCCCAGGCCCAGCCAGCCATCCCCAGACCCACGCGGTTATTCCTCCGGCAGCTTCGAGCATCGCACCTGGGAAGTGAGCTGGAAGGTGAGAGCTCGCCGTCGCTCGGAGCTGCCAGGGTTATGGCTGCAGGCAGTTGGCCTCTCTTTTCCTTAGTGGCCTCCCATCTTTGATCTGAGCATCTAATTTCTGTCTCCTCCAGGCACTGGGGACCTGTGCTGCATGGCCGAGCTCGACAACCCCATGCAGCAGAAGTGGACCAAGTCCGCGAGGGCGGGTCCCGAGGTGGAGTGGACTGAGGACCTGGCCCTGTAAGGATTCCCGCCCCGCCCCGTGCCCAGGCAGACAGTCATCCCTTCCAGCACAGCCTGGCACAAACCAGCTCTGTTGTCACTAAACCCTGATGTGTGACCCTTTAGGCCAGGCCCCCACTAGGTCCTGGGGTACAGATGTGACCACGATTCAGTGCCCACCTCGGTGTGGTTTCCGTGTCAAGGCAGAGATAGATGGATGTAAAGAGAATGGAATTAGTGGTCTCTTCAAGGTTAAGTTAACAAAAAGTGCACAGGAACGCCCCCTGGGGAGAGTACTTCCGGGAGGGGAATAAGGATCAGAGCAGGCTCCATGGAGGAGGCGATATTTAAACCACACCTTCGAGTACCAGGAGGATTTCAACACGTGTTCCCGGCAGAGGGAAGAGAGTGAGAAAGGGAAGATGGTGATTTGACGTAGAGACAGAGACAGGAAGGCGGAGCAGGGCAGGGGTGGTGGGGCTTGAATGCCCCGCTAAGGAGTATGGTCTCCACTCGGGCCCTCTCCTATTCTCCTGGGAGAGGAAGTCCTTGGAGGGCAGGGGTGACTCTGATTGGAGCACTCATGCCACCTCATTTATGTACATCACTGTCTGCCTCTGTCCTGTGATCAGCTGGAGGGTGGATTCCTTTTGCTAACCTCCCCCCTCCCTGCCCCTGCTTCTCCCGGCCACAGGGATCTGGGTCCCCAGAGCCGGGAGCTGGTCCTCAGGGTGCTGAGGGGCAGCCACTGTGGAGACGGTGAGTAGGAGGCCGGAAGGCGCACCCTGGGGGGCGTGGGGAGGCGGGCGCTGAGTGGAGCCTGACCGTGGGCCCAGCTCATGGTGCTGCCCCTTCCCCAGCCGAACTCCTGGGCCAGGCCACACTGCCCGTGGGCTCCCCTTCCAGACCACTGTCCCGGAGACAGGTGTGCCCACTCACCCCGGGGCCTGGGACAGCCCTGGGACCCGCAGCCACCGTGGCAGTGGAGGTGAGGAACGACCCGGGAAAGATGGGAGGAGGTAGCACAGGATGGTCTTTGAGGCCCAGCTTCTTAGTGCTCCCACCCCTCGACAGCTCCAGTATGAGGAGGGTTCCCCCCGGAACCCCACCCCCTCCATGCCACGCCCCAGCATCACACCAACCAAGAAGGTCGAGCTGGACCGCACCATCATGCCTGATGGCACCATTGTCACCACGGTCACCACTGTCCAGTCCCGGCCTCGCACTGTAGATGGCAAGTCAGGTAAGAAGGAGGAGCTGAGAGCCCAGCAGTGGCCAGGGGCCTTGAGCGGCAGGTCGGTGGAGGGTCAGGGAGGGGCAAGGAAAGCTCTAACCCTAACCACCCCTGTTCTCCACCACATCATCTTCATTATCTCTGTCTCCCTCAGATTTCCCCTCTCACCCTCCCTCTCCCTGACTGGTCCTCCCATGTCAACCCTGGGCCCACCCACCCCGCCACTGCGGGTGACTCTTGCACTTCCACCTCCTAAGTTCCCCATCTTTTCACGGGTCCGAGTCCGTTCCCCTCTCTTTCCCCCGCCCCACTGCCTCATCTTCCCTCCCTCTAGCCTCAGCCAGCCAGTGCCCTGCAGGACCCTTCCACACGCCCAGTGGCCTCCATGGTGTTTCTTCTACTCCCAGAGTCCTCCATGACATTTCTCCCATCTCTAGGGGTCCCACGGGATTCCCCTCCGTGCAGGGGCCCCATGTGCCATCTCGCACCTCAGTATTTTCATGGCATCTCCCACACTCCCCTTAGTTCCTGCGGTGCCTCTTTGTCCCCAGGGCATCTTCTTCTTCCTGTTTTTTCTTTTTTTAGGAATATAAGATATTTTCTTGTTAAATATATTTTATTGCTTTCAGAGAGGGAGAGAGAAACATCAATGATGAGAGAGAACCATTGATCGGCTGCCTCCTGCACACCCCACACTGGGGATCAAGCCCCCAAACCGGGCATGTGCCCTTGACCGGAATTGAACCTGGGACCTTCAATTCACAGCCTGATGCTCTATCCACTGAGCCAAACTGGCTAGGGCCCCATGGTATCTTCTAATCATTCTTGTGATTCATCATCTCTGAGTCACCCCTGCCCTCTGAGTCACCAAAGCCTACATCTCAACAAAGATGGGGTGGGCGGGGGCCATTCTCAAACACGCCCAGCTCACTGACCCTCCCCCGCCCAGCAGACTCCCCCTCCCGCTCCCCGTCCAAGGTGGAGGTGACCGAGAAGACGACTGTGCTGAGTGAGAGCGGTGGCCCCAGCAGCACCTCCCACAGCAGCAGCCGTGAGTGGGGACCTGGAACGTGGGAGTGTCAGCTGGTATTGGGGCCCCAAAGTCAAAGCCATTTTGGGTGGGGCCTGGGGGTTCTGGTCCAAGGGGAGCTGGAGCGGAGTCGGGTCCACCCTCTGCCCAGCAGGGGAGAGCCACCTTGCCAACGGCCTGGACCCTGTGGCAGAGACAGCCATTCGCCAGCTGACAGAGCCCAGCGGGCGGGCAGCCAAGAAGACACCCACAAAGCGGAGCACCCTCATTATCTCAGGTGTTTCCAAGGTAACAGCTCTGGGGAGAGCAGCCAAGGTGGGGAGGAAGCCCTCACGCATCACTGCAGTCCATTCAAACCTGTCCCTCTCGCCAGGTGCCCATCGCGCAGGACGAGCTGGCGCTGTCACTGGGCTACGCAGCCTCTCTGGAGGCCTCGGCGCAGGACTCTGCCCGAGACAGCAGTGGCCCCTCTCCCCCGCCCTCAGACCCTCCAGCCACCTTTCCAGGAGCCCTGGACGCCCTCTCCAGCCCCACCAGCGTCCAGGAGGCCGATGAGACCACACGTTCGGACATTTCCGAGAGGCCGTCGGTAGATGACGTCGAGTCGGAAACAGGATCGACTGGTGCCCTGGAGACCCGCAGCCTCAAGGATCACAAAGGTGGGGAGAGGTCGGCAACCCCCTCCTCTGATACTCAGTGTCATGACCTGGGTCCTCCTGGAGCCTTAGGGACATGGAGGCCGAAGCTAATGGGCTGTGTCCTTCCACAGGGGCTGCCAGAGGCCCAGCCGGTCTCAGCCGAGCTAAAGTAGAGAGGGAGCGGGGTGCGCTGGGTCTTGTGGCATTATTTACCACAAGTTTCCTTTTTCCCGTGTCTAAGTGTGTCTCTTCCTTCCCTTGTGTGTTTTTTTCTTCCTTCCCTTTCTTTTATTTGCATATATATTTTTATTGATTTCAGAGAGGAAGGAGAGAGAGATAGAAACATCAATGATGAAAGAGAATCACTGATAGGCTACCTCCTGCACGTCCCCCACTGGGGATCGAGCCCGTAACCCAGGCATGTGCCCTTGACCGGAATCAAACCCAGGACCCTTCAATCCGCAGGCTGACGCTCTATCCACTGAGCCAAACTGGCCAGGGCTATAAGGCATTTTTTAACCAACCTGCTTAATCTCATTCCCCTCTATTTTCTTCTAATAAATTTGTTGCTTTCTGATTTTTATCTCTCAATCCCAGGTCACTTTATGGTTTTATGAATGTTGTGAAGTTGGCATCTAAGTATTTTTCTTCAAATTGATGGCCAGGAGTCAGATACTATTTAAAAATATTATATTGAGCTCTGGCCTGAGAGCGTCAGCCTGCGGACTGAAGGGTCCCAGGTTCGATTCCGGTCAAGGGCATGTAGCTTGGTTGCTGGCACATACCCAGTGGGGGGTGTGCAGGAGGCAGTTGATCAGTCTCTCTCATTGATGTTTCTAGCTCTCTATCCCTCTCCCTTCCTCTCTGTAAAAAGTCAATAAAATATATTTTAAAAAAAGAAAAGAATCCTACCCTAGGCTGACCTAGGACTGTCCCTGCGCAGTGACACGCCTTGTGGGCGGCTGGGGTACTCCTCACTTCTAAAGATGAGGGCTTCCCCCAACATCTTCAGCCCTCTCTGTCAACCACAACTGCACTTAACCATTACGGCTGAAGCCGGCATCACTTCTTGGGATAGAGTTCCCAAACCCAAAGCCTGCTGAGTGAGCGCCTCCTCATGACCCTGGTCTGAATGGACCTCTTGGATGCACCCCTTCTGCCCACATCCTGGAATTTGTCAATGAGCCTGTTTCAGACAATCTTGTTCTTCCATGTCTGCCTCTGAGGACATTTCTTTCTTTCTTCTTTTAAAAATATTTTTGATTTCAGGGAGGAAGGGAGAGGGAGAGAGAGAGAGAGAGAGAGAAACATCAATGATGAGAGAATCATTGATCGGCTGCCTCCTGCACGCCCCCACTGGGGACCGAGCTGCAACCAGCATATGTGCCCTGACCTCCTGGTTCATAGGTCAACACACAACCACCCAGCGACCACCGGGATGAGGACATTTCGTTAGAGACACCCTCTGCTCAGCCTTGTTTTCCCACAGTGAAGAGTCGGGTGGCCAGTCTGTGGGCACAGAGCAGCGGCCCTGACTGCTCCAGGCCAGCGCTCAGCAGGGCGCAGACTCGCGCAGCCAGGACCAGGGCACGTGTCTCTACCTTCCTCCCCAGGAAGCCCGGCTCCCAGGCCCCCGGCCTGTTCCTTTCCGCGCGGCCCACCCCTCTATGCTTGGTATTTTTTTTTTTAAATATATTTTTATTGACCAGAGAGGAAGGAAGAGGGAGAGAGAGAAACATCCATGAGAGAGAATCGTGGGTCGGCTGCCTCCTGCGCGCCCCGCACTGGGTCCGGCCGGGAGGAGTGGGGCTGGAA